TGAGAGCTGGTTGTATAACAGTTGGTGTTCTCATTCATTACTTTGCTCTTGTATCATGGATGTGGATGGGAGCTGAGCCTGTACTAATGTTTAAAAAAATAGTTGTTGTATTCTCAAATGTAACAATAAAGTATCTTCTTGTTTTATCAGTCATTTGCTGGAGTAAGTGATTTAAAAAATCTTTTTCATTTATAATATTTTGCTTCATTTTTGTAGCTTTTCCTTTACTACCAATCATAATTGTCCTATCAATAAAGGAAGATTATTATATTACTTTCTATAGTAATACTAATGATCAAGTTGGATTGTAAGTACAATGCAAAGTGACAGACAAATTAATTCATACTGTTTTTTCTTCAGTTGCTTTTTAGGACACTTAACAGTATTTCTCACAACATTTCTAGTTCCAGTGTTTCTCATTCTCATATTTAATTTGGTCATGTACATTCTTATTCTTCGAGTTCTTATTTTGCATACTGTGAGGAAGAAACAGCGACAAGGAAAATCATCAATGTCACCATCAGAAGCAGTCAGAATGTTACTGTCTTTCACTGGTATAATGTTCCTCCTTGGTTTGACATGGATCTTTGGTATCTTCACTTTTATTTCTGAGCCTGGAGTTTCCTATACCCTTCAGTTCTTATTTGCTTTCTTCAATGCTTTCCAAGGATTCTTTATATTCATATTCTTTGTTGTGCTGAGCAGTGATGCAAGAGCAGCATGGAAATCCCTATTGTGTCCATGGTCTGTAGAAAGCAAACAGAAGACATCAAAATGCCATCTTTCCTCTGATAAAAAGACAATGATAGATAAAAAATCAGACTTGAGTGATTTTTCTAAAAATAGCAGTGATTATTCCTCTCTTCCTCCTTCTCTTCCTACTCCATTTCTCCCTTCGCTGTCTGAAAATGAAAATCGAGTGGATGCAACACCTAAAAGTATTGGAGACATAGAATTCAAAGGAGCCCGCATAACACGTAGATCAACTCGCAAGCACACTCATCACATTGAGGAAGTTAAGTTGGATTTCTTTGACAGTGATACTGATGACTACTTTGAGAATGACTTTTAACTCATATCTACAGGATTTAGCTACTATTATATGTAATACCTAATGTGTAATTGGATTTTTGTTAACCTTTATTTAGCATTCATACAATTTAAAGCATTTTATAAATCATTTTATATAATACACAAACAATACAAGACAAAATTTAGACACAATATCATATTTTGTGCTTGCTGTATTATAGCAAAGTATACAAAATTGCATTTTAAAAATTGTCTCACTAGATCAGAAGAACTTATACATAAAACTGGGCAGTCGATAAACCTATTATAAGAATAACATGTAAAGAAAAGTCCACAACTTTCTCTGTCTATTTGTCACTAACAGTGTATAGTGGGTTATTTCATGGGTCTAAATTTTTGTGGTTTGCTCCTAGCGGGGCAATTCGTGGTTTAATTTTTCTGGTTGACAGTTACATAGCCTGTAAGGGGATGGTACTTCAATGATTTCGTGGGTTTAAATTTTGTGGGAAGCCCCAAAATGACGAAAATAAAGCGCGACGAAAATTACCCGTTATATGGTATACCTTAACAGCAGCTGCTATCATGACTACAAGAAGAATCATAAGATAAGGCCGCAGACTCCATTGGCAGGATGAGGGCACCTGGAGGAAGTTAAAGTTAAACTGCTTTATCTTTGACTTGTTGTGTGGTGGATAGATCACCCTATTATTAACATAAAATAAAAATAGTAATATTTAAATGTATAGAATATATACTTTAGCAGAAAGTCCATTTTGGTTCCAGTCCTTAGAATTGGTTTCATTTGTGAGTATGTATTGAAGGTGTGCTTGCCGTGGTAAGCTCCTATACCGCTGTTACCGACACCACCAAACGGAAGAGTATTAACTAAAAAAACAGCTGCTACTTGTATTATAAATGACAAGGATTATATGTACCTCCAATTTGAAAGAGGACAGTATTCTGAACAAGAGAGCCGCTGCTAGTGCGACTTGATATGTAATGAAAAGTCTTGCTGTTTTCGGTACAGATAATTCCAAGCTCCAATGATAAGACCAACTCCAAGAGGCTCAGGTTTCATGTAGCAATCGTCCATCATGTTAGCCACGCCCTTAGCAACATATTGGGGGGAGGTCCACTTGTGAAAGTCTCTTATAGCTTCAATAATGTCGGCAAGGACTACATTGCATTCTCCCGCTATTGACTCAAATTCATTCTATAAGAAACCACTATCATCATTTTATCATAAAAAATACTGTATAGCTAGAAAATTTGGTCACGTAAAATTCTGAGACGAATTTGGCAAATTGAGCTAAAATTTTAGTTTTTAATTTTTATGAAGCTCTGTAGACTTAAGTATAGTATGCAGACTAAAAATTTTAAAATGCACAAGGTCAAAATTTGATCAAAATATCCTTAATTCACCAAAATTTTATTGCCTCAGATTTAACTTAATAATGGACACCTCATCAAGAATCGCTTACAGCAACAAATGCCCAAAACTAACTTTAATGCATTACCAAAGCTGGTCCAAAAATAATGTAAAATTACCACTAAAAATCTATTTTATTTTGGTTGCCCATTGCAATTGTAAATAGAAGCCTAAATCTAAACTGACTTTGTTGAGGTCAGCTTTCAATGCAGCAGATACTTGA